AAATTGGTTATGACTGAGAACTGGATGTTTTATTTAGAATCTCAGCCACAGAAGGAATGAAGCATAAATATAACCATTTCCACTAGTTCTGGGCAAAAGAACAGGGGATAGGAATCAAGAGGCCTGACTCCTTACCTTAGCTTTGCCTCACATTTCACCTGTACGGCATCGAGAGAGTCACAGCTTCTCTGTTCTCATCTGTGAAATGGAAACCATAACAATAATAACTCACTCTTGGATGGTGCTTTGTATTGGACGAAGCACTTTCCTCACAATGCTCCTGCGAAGGTGAGTAGGAGGTACAAGTGTTATTACCTTCAATTTACACATGAAGCAAGTGAGGCTCAGAGAGGTCAAAGCCATGGTCAACAGCCTTTAAATGGTAGAGCTGAAAGCTACTAGTTTTAAGTCTTTCCATGACCACTCTTAATAACAATAACAGTAACAATAGTAACAATGTTGTTAACAATTAACAATAATACCTTCGAAAAGCAGCAGAGCATGGTGGATAGAGAGCCTCCCTCAGTCAGGAAGATCTGGGTTCAAGTCCTGCCTCTGATACTTAAAGTGACCCTGGACAAGTAACTTAACCTACCAACACTTTAAGCCATCCTTTAAGTTATGGAACAATTGCTGATCTGCTCTGATAGAAAGAGTCCACGCAGGGAGTTCCCTATATCAATAAAATGACAGGTTTATCATTCCCTCCCCCCAACAAAATAAAACAAAACAAAACAAGATATGACTGTAGCTTCATATACCACTTTGTACTTTTCAGGGTTTCTTTACATATTTTTTTTTTCATTTAATTCTCATAAAACACTCAGAGATTGCAGGGCAACTGTTACTATCCTCATTTTAGATAGGAAACTGAATAACAGATAAGTAATATAATTAGTTAACGCTGGAGTCAGGGTTAGAATTGAAGACTCCTTACTCTGAGTCCATAATGGCCTATGACATGAAAAGTGGGAGGGTGGGTGAGACAAGTGTCAGGCCACACCACTCCCTGACTGATGAGGAAAACACAGGCTCCACCCTCGGGAGTTCTGGTCCTGTGTTTTAGAATAAAAGTGCTATGTAATTATAAAGGATTGTATTGTCAAGTCTTCTCCTCTCCAAGGGACTCTGATAAACATGGAGAGGGAAGTCATCTGGAGATCTCTGGGGCGTGTGGGGGTGGGAGTCCTACTTTCTTCTCAGAAACTGAGTAACCTTGTTTATTCCCCGTCTGCTTCCATGTTCCGCTGGTAGTTAAGTTGGTAGCCAAGTGTGCTTATCTTTTGGGGCTAATCCCTGGGATATAGAACATCAGTCCTTCAATCCCTACACAGAATGGGACAAAAAAAAAGCCCTCTAGCCAGGGCCTAAATGTGACTTGGGGAAAGTGATTCTCTTCCTGGAATTGAGGTCATGTCCTGCTTTCCAATAGCAGGTGGGAGTGGGGCAAAGGAATCTCCCTCGGTGTTTGGGAATCCACATTCTCCAGCGTTCGAAGGAGCATCTGGTATAGCTTTGATCTCATTTCTGTCCTGCCTTAAATTAGGACTAACCACAGATGCCAGGGCTAGTAGCCAACTGTGGAACTGAGCCCAACCCCTAGAGCGGTTGGTGCTTCAGCTCCAATGGGGATCTTAGTGGCACAGAGCTCCTGTAAACCAGTATTGAGGCTCTGCAGGCCATTTCATCTATGGACTCATAGAGTCAGGGTTCCTGAAAATACAAGATGGGCTAAGCAAAGGGAAGGACTTAGACAGCTTTTCCCTCCACATTGCTGGAATAAGCTATAGAAAGGGACCACCACTTGTGCTCCCGGCGTGGTACTTGATTTGTAAGGATCATAATATTAAAGATTTAGAGCAAAAAAAGAAAAAAAAAAGAAACATCAGGCCATCTAGTTGAAACTCCTAATTTTACAGATAAAGAAACTGAGGCTCAGCAGGGCTAAGTGACTTGCCCAACATCATACCAACAGTAAGGGTCAGAGATGGGATTTGAACCCAGGTCTGTAATTTAGGGCCACATATATAATGACATCATTCTATTCCTAACCATCTCTTAATGGGAAGATAGAGTAGGAAGAACATTGACTGCCAACCCAGCGTTCTTCCATATTGTCACATCAAAAGATGATTAGCAATAGGACGATGTCATTATATATGCGGCTCCAAATTACATTACCAGCTTTTAGAGGGTACGATCCCTGAATGGCTTCATTTCATAGGCTGTTGCCACTGTCCTTTTCCTTGCTTCCCTGGAGACCTTGGTGGCAACTGTGTCATGGATAGGGGTTGGAGGAGGAGTGTCACTGTAGTTGCAACCAAAGAGAGCTGACTCAGTTGTATCAGTGACCATAAGTACTAGTCCTGGACCAGTTAGCTAAGTGAGTAGGACTGGTGGTGTTGAGAGCTATGGTGCAGGTTCACTGCAGCTATCCCACTTCCTCCTTGGGGCTAATTTCAGCCCCATGGAAGGGAAAGAGGAAAACTCCAAGCCTTGTTACTTTGGCAGTATGCCTATGTTCTTACCTGTGTATGTCTCCTCTTGAAGTTTGTAAACTGTCCACCAGGATGGTGAGTGGGCTAGAAATAATTCTGTAAGGAACTGAGGATGTTTAGACCAAAGAAAAGGAGTCTGGGGCCTTAGGTCAGAGGATAGGGATAATGGTTGTCTTCTAGTATTCGAAGGGCTAACATGAAGGGGGGGGAGAATTTGATTTGTCCTACTGGCCCCAGAAGGCAGGATTAGATACAGTGGGGAGAGATTTCCTACTTCTGATGCTTACTGCCTTGGGCAGTTCACTTAACTTTCCAGGGCCTCATCTGTAAAATGAAGGAATTGGACTAGAAGAGCCTCTGAGGTCGCTTTCAACTCTTGATCTAAGATCCTTTGACAATATTAAATTGAAGGGAGGCATATAGTAAGAATAGAATGTTAGCTCTGGAACAGAACATAAGACATCATTTGTCCAACTCCCTTCCTTTCTTAAGATAAAGAACCTGAGATCAGGAAATTAAGTGACTCGCCTAGAGGTAGACAGTTAGTGTCAGAGCTAGGCATGAAACCTAGGAATTACAGCTTGTAGTCAATCCATTGTCCTTTTCGTTGTAGCTACTGCTCATCGGTCCCTCCCAGCTCTAAAGTTCTGTGATTCTGAGATTCTCTGTTAATGGGGAGGGGTGAAGATGTGGGTGTATCAATCATTCAAACAACAAGCCATTATTGCACACAGAGTATATGCGCAGCCATGCCTAGCATTTTGAGGTATACAGGAAAAGTATATCATGGACCCTGCTCTCTGTGTGTTTACAGATTACCTGGGAAAACCAGATGACCACTGAACCATACACAACAGATTATGACTAAATACTTGCTTGTTTGGTACAAAATAGAGGAGTTCGGGGAGGAGGCAGATCAGTCAGAGCTAGAGACATTGAAGAAGACTTCACAGCTCGGGAGGTGTTGAATTAGGTTGTGATCTGCCATGTTGCCTGATTGGCCACTTCTATATCTCTATAGAGGAGAAAGAAATAATAATCTTAATGCAAAAATGTACTCAAATACCTGCGAGGTTGGGTAGGATTTGGGTAGGCAGAAGAAGGGAAGCAAAAAAAGAACAAAAATGGTGAAAACATAGAAATGAGAATGAGTACAGTATAATAAATAATAAGCATTTATTAAGCACTTAGTTGTCCAGAAAGAGCATTTTACTAGGTGCTTTGGGAAAGAAGGGTAAGGAAGACTCTGTCCTTACCCTGAAATAAGGTGATGGTAAAAAAAAAAAAGTAAGGTGGTACCAGCTATTAGAAGGATTTCAATGATAGGCATGTTATGATTGAACTTTGTTTAGTAAGCAGTAGGGAGCCATTGAAGGTTTTCGAACAAAGGAATGAGATGACTAACTGTATGTATAAGATCTAAGACATAGAGGCTATAATATCTGGGACAGTGAGATAAACCTGGTTTAGAAAGGAAGATGTGTGATGGGAAGCAATAAGAAATTAGGTTAGGCTTGATATAGTAGAAAGTGGGGAGCCATTGAAAGTTTTTGAGAAAGTTTAAGAGTCCTTAAGAAAAGCCAGTCTGGCAGTAGTATGTGAGACAGACTGGACTCAAGGGGGCTAGTATAATATTTTAGGTGTGGGGCTGTGAGGGCATGAACTGAGCTGATAGCATGGGAATGAATAGGAAGAAAAGGATACAAGAAAAGCTTTGGAGAAAAATTCAGTAGGACTTGGTGACAGGCCATGAAGGGGAGTAAGGGAGGAGGTAAAGGAAAGGAGTTGAAGATTTGAGGTCACTAGGAGAATTGATCACAGATTTAGGGAAGGAAGGGACCTTAAAGTTCATCTTTCCCAGCTCCTTTATTTTACAGATGATGAAACTGAGGCCAAGAGTTGTTCAGAGACTTGCTCCAGGTTTCATAGAGAGTAAGTGGCAGAGCCAGGATTCAGATGCAGGTCCTTTTGACTACACTGCAATGTGATGGTTTTACCATTGACAAAAGAAGCAGCATGGTACAATGGAAAGAGCCCTGACTCGAGACAAAAGACCTGGGTTCAAATCCTACCTGCCTCTGATGTTTTCCACCTGTGACACTTTAATCTCCCTGGGCCTTGGTTTCCTCATTTGTAAAATGAGAGGGTCAGACTAGATGACTTCCAAGGTCCCTTCCTGCTCTTGAGATCTATGGTCTCATGACCCCAACCAGGAAAGAGAGTTGGTTTGTGAGGGGGTGTGATAGACATGGGTTTGCACCTGTGGAGCCTGAATGCATGTTGATTGTATGTTGCTGTAGGGGAGGAAGTGCATGTGTATGTAGTATGTATAATCATTTGTACAAATGTCTTCTCATATATGAGCAGATAGTACCTATGGGTCTATGTGCATGGACCATGTACACCCTTATCCCTGAGGGTGGCTGACATGGAAAAGAAGTTAAGGTACCTGCCGTGGAGTACATTTGAGCATCAAGATTATTATTTCTTTCTCCTCTCCAGAGACATGGAAATGGCCAGTCAGGCAACATGGCAGATCACAATGCCCCAGCACTTATGGAGCTTGTGAGGGAGAAGGAAGAGAGGATTTTGGCCCTGGAAGCTGACATGACCAAGTGGGAACAGAAGTACCTGGAGGAGAGTACCATCCGACATTTTGCCATGAATGCTGCTGCTACTGCAGCAGCTGAGAGGTAAGACCCCATTACTTTTGACGACATACGTAGGGGAAATTGAGTTTGGAGGCCAAGGTCACGGAGTCATTGAGGATTATAGCTCAGATAACTTCCCAGAGGAGTGACTAAGTACTCTGCTGACACAATGAAGAAAGATCTGACATAGGTAACTGCTAATTTTCTTACCCAAAGACTGTATTTTGTTGTTCTAAGGTAACATTAATTAATGATTTTTAACTTTTTCTTATTATCTCCTGCACTAAATTAGCACAGTGCCTGGCACATAGTAAGCACATAATAAAAGTTTGTTGATTAACAGATTGATCTCTCTGAGTCAGCAAATCCCAATGTAACAATAATAATCTTTTTAAATCTATCCAATTGTACATTTGGTCTCAAAGTTTGCATGGTTATCTCTTGAATATCCAAACAAATGAACAGGAACCCATAGAGCATCTAATCCAAAAGGGCAAATAACCCAAATAACTCTGGTTTTAGGATGTGTTTTTCTACCCAGGTTTGAACGTGGGTGTATCTGACACATTTGAAATTCACCAAAACTTTAATCAAAGTCATGGAGCTGTGGCAGGCATGGTGGCTAGGATAATGACCTTAATGTTAGGAAGACCTGGGTTTGAATCCTTCCTCAGACACTGTGTGACCCTATGACCTTCATGATCCAATAGAAAGTCCTTTGTTTGGTTCTTAAAGCCCATGGTAACCTGACCAGTTCCTTCCTTTCCAGTCTTCTTATATTTCACTTACCTCCACATACTCTACAGTCTAATGCCACTGGCCTCCTTACTGTTTCTCAAACAAGTCACCCCATCTCCCACCTCCAGGAATTCTGACTGGCTCTCTTCCATGCCTGGAATTCTCTTTCCCCTCATCTCTTGATTTCCTTCAAGTCTCAGCTCAGATTCCATCTCTGTAAGAGGTCTTTCCCACTCTCCCTTAATGCTATTTAGGCTTCCTTCTGTGATTATCTCCAGTTTAGCCAGCATATGTCTCATTTATACCTAGTGGTTTACATGTTGTCTCCTCCATTTAATTGTGAGCTCCTTAAGGAAAGAGGCTGTTTTATCTTTCTTTGTATCCCCAGCACAGTGCCTGACACATAGTAGGAGCTTCTTGACTTGACTCTGGGCAAGTCTTTTAACTTCTATTAATCTTAGGCTGAAAAATAGTTAGAGAAGTCTATGTAGGCTATAATGTGAGCTAAGGCTAGAAAAACAAGCTTATGGAAGAGCTTGAATATTAGGATAGAAGGGGTTACATTGGGAATGCAGAGGAGGTGGCCTATAGGGGAAGATATTGCAAAGGCAGAATTGATAAGACTTTTTAACTAATTGAGTGTGGGGGATGAGAGAGATAATCAAGATAACCAAAGATTCAATCAAGGAAGATGCTAGTGCCCTGACAGAAATATCAAAGAAAAGGGGAATGGCAGCTTTGGGGAAGGCACTGATGAGTTCAGTTTTAAACACAATAAATTTGAGGCACCATTTGGACATCGAGCCAGAGAGGAAGTTGAAACTTACAGAATCTTCATGTTGGAAGGAACCTTACAGATCATCTAATACAACCCGTACTTAAACCTAACACTACTCAACAAGTGGTCTTCCAGCCTTTGCATGAAGACCCCAAGGGAGTGGGAAACTACCTCTAGAGACAGCCTATTACACTTTGGAGTAGCTCTGATTGTTAGGATGCTTTTCCTTACATCAATCTTAAATTTGTTCCTTTATAGCTTCTACTTATTGCACCTAGTGCTCCCCTCTGGGGCTAAGCAGGACAAGCCAGATACTTCTTCTAGATGACAACCTTTCAGGTACTCAGAGATAACCACATGTCCCTCCTCCTCACCCCTATTTCTTCTTCAAGACAAACAGTTTGAGATTCTATGACTAATCCTCATGTGGCATGATCTGAATTATTCAAACTCTTAATTACATAGTTTCAAATAACACTGAATCAAGTATACTTGTTTTATGTTGCATAATCAGATATGGGACTGCATATCTGGGAGTAAAGAAATTGATGTGGGAATTGTCTGTATAGTGTTTATAATTGAAATAGTGGGAATGGATGTGATTTCCAAGACAGTGAATATGGAAGATATCAGAGGATCAATTACAGAGCCTTAATGGATAAGAAGAAGGATGAGGAGCTTGGGAGAAAGAAAAAAGTACATTCCTAGAAATAGGAGGAAGGTGAGAGGACCATGTCAAGGGATCCAAGGGAGGGGAGAGTACTAAGAATGAAGTAGAAAAAAACCAATTCAAATATGGTGGAGCCACAATTAGAATCTCACAAAACTTAGCAGCAATGACACTAAGAATAAAGTCAACAGATTCATGCTATAGAAAGGTAAAAGAGAGTGATGATTATTAACAGGCCTTTAGTTTGGACAATAAGGAGGTCTTTAGCAAACATGGTGAGAGCAGTTTTAGGAGAGTGATGGGAACAGAAGTCAAACTGCAGAGATCTGGAATTGAGTGAGGGTGGGGTGGGGGGAGGAAGTAAAAGCAGTGTGTACAATATTTAGAAGTGTTTTAGTGGAGTATTACAGTCAAGTGATGGTTTTTGTTTGTTTTTAGAATGTGAAAATAAAAGCATATATGTAGGCCAAGGGTAAGAGATCGTAAGAGATTAAAGATGCATTAGAGAGGAAATGATTGATGGAGAAAGGCCACAGAGAAAACTGAATGGGATAGAATCCAGAGTTCAGGTGGAGTTAAGTCAACAAGCGTTTTTAAGTTCCTACTCTATACCTTGCTCAGCACTGGAGACACAAGGAAAAGCAAAAATAGACCACCTTTAAGGAGCTCACAATCTAAAGGGCACAAGTAAGCAACTATGTACAAACAAGACATATACAAGGTAAATTGGAGAAAACCTCAGAAGGAAGGCACTAACATTAAGGAGAATTGGGAAAGGTTTCTTGCAGAAAATAGAGATGCAACTTAGCAAGGAGGAGGGCCATCTCATACTCTGGAGACTGGTGAAGATGGGTGAGGACATGAGAGGTTTATAGGCTTGGAGGTGAGATAGCTCTGATCTCAATAAAGTAAAAGATGTGGTTTGTACTGAAAGCAAGATGGGCTGGGGTTAGAATCAGGAGCATGAGAAGTCATGTTGGCTTGTCTCTTTCCCAGCCTCTGCTGGTAAATGAATGAATGAAAAAAAATTAAGTGCTTACTAGGTGTCTAGTACTATGCTAAGGGGCTCCACGGGGGAAGACTGCATATTGTCTCTATTGAGAGGAAGCTCTGTTTGTTGTCACTTGTAACCAAAATCTTAATTTTCCCTTACCATTATCTCTTAGATTTAAATTCAGGCAGGCCAAAAAAATGGAAGTGGTCATCTTTTGGGAGCTCATTTGGAAATGATTTGCTGCTGTTGACAGTTATTGATTCTATATCTTTGCTTCCTCCTTAGAAAAGGCATTGTCTTGTTTTTCTTTCAAAGAAAGCCCCAAACCTTTCAAATTCCTGTTTCCAGGCAGTGAATATTGTCTCCAGGATAGATGCTGTCAGTGAAATTTCAATCAAGAAATTAGAAAATTGATGAGGATCTATTAACCTCCTACTATATGCCAAGCACTGGGAGTACTATGATAAAAACAAAGTAGTCCATATCTTCTCTCAAAGAGCTTATATTCTTTTGGGGGAAACAGTTTTCAAGTAGCTTCCCCTTGGCTATTGAATCTTACACATCTATGGTTGCCTGCTTAGATTGGGAACTAGGAGAATCGTTAGCTCTGGGTCCCTTCCCATCCCCAAACTTGAGTCTTTTGTCTATAAGTCGTATTTGGGTGGAATTAAAGTGCACCAAAGCTTTGCACTAGGATATTGCTGGCATTGAGGGATGTCTCAAAATTTTAAAAGAACATCTAAAAATATAGCCTTACAGGTTCTTTTGTGAGTCCCCCGAGGCTAGTTGGACCTGAACCAACAGAGACTAAAGCTGAAGGACCAAGGCAGTCATAATGGCCTACTATGTCATATTTCTTTAGTCACTCTTATGAAATTGGTGGTGTTTCTTTCTCTTTTAATGAATGCTAACTAGATGGAGGGCATTTTATTAGCTAATTAAGAGGTTTTTGTTCTCGTTACTTAAGTACAGAATTAAAGAATTTCTGGTGAGATGCCCAGAAATGAGATAATATTGTAATACCTTACATTTATAAAGGGTTTTATAGTTTACAAAATACTTTAATCAACATTATCTCATTTGATCCTTCCAAGGACCCTGTGAGGGACAGAAGTATACACTGATAAAAAAATGACTAACTTTAAAATTGTTATTGTAAGTGACTTAGAAGTCGATGCAGATGGCATGTTTATCAAATTTTCAGATTAAATAAAGCTGATTTAGATAGATGGAAGAGTCACATATTTCAAAAGATGTTAACAGACTGGAAGATTGGACTGTTTGTTATTGGAGTTTTATTGCATTTTATTAGGCAGCCACCAGGCTGCCTAAGGAGGGGCAAACCATGTTGGAAATGCCGCAAGTCAAAGCTTCCATGCTGATCAGTGGTGGATTGGGTTTAGAGATGTCTGCTGGACTTCCAGCTTGGGTGAGACAGGAAGACCTAGTCTCAAAAAGAGGAAGGAGGAGGAGGAGAAGAACAGGAAAGGAAAAGGGAAGAAATATGGAAACTGAGGTTCAGAAAGGCAAGTGACTTGCTCACAAAGATACACAGCTGGTACATGGCCAAGCTGAAATGGGAATCCAGATTTCTTATATTTAACCCAGTACTCTGGAGTCAGGAAGACCTGAGATCAAATACAGCTTCAGACATTTCATAGCTATGTGACCTTGACCAAGTCACTTATCTTCTGTTTTCCTCAGTTTCCTCAATTGCAAAGTAGGGATAAAAATAGCACCTGCCGCCCAGTATTGTGAGGATCAAATGAGATAATATTTGTAAAGCACTTAGCACAGTGTCTGGCACATAGTAAGTACTATATAAATACTAGCTATTATTAGTTACTATCGTTATAGAGAGCAAGACAGGAAGAACTCAGTAAGAAAAGAGGTAAAAACATTTGCAAAGAAAAATTGTACAAAAAAATCAGCACCCATTTATTGAGTGTGTATTATATACTAGGCACTCAGGATACAAAGAAAAAACTGACACAGCCCCTGCTCTCAAGGAGCTTCCATTCTTTCAGGAAAGCTACACGTCCAACATACACCCCTCTTACTAGCTATGTGACCTTGAGTTAGTCACTTAGCTCTTTGAGCCTTAATTTCCTCATCTGTGCAATGGAAATAATAGCGCTATTACTGCTTAATCCCACAGGACTGTTGTGAAGAAAACACTTTGTGAATCTTAGAGCCCAATATAAATGTAGATTGTTGATATTAAAGCTGATAATTCACAATGTAGACGGAATCAAAGGTGTTTTGTCAGCCAGCTAGGGGAGAGATCCCTGCCTGTGATGCTGATAGGAGCTGAATATCTGCTGGTATTGAAAATCCAGGCACCTCATTTTTCATCAGACCATGCTGAATAATGGAAGTGTGTTTTTTGTGTGTTTTGTTGTCAGGGATGCCACAATCATCAACCACTCGAGGAATGGCAGCTACAGCGAGAGTTCCCTAGAGGTCCGCATCTGGCAGGAGGAGGAGGAAGTTGTGCAAGCCAATAGGAGGTGCCAGGACATGGAATACACGTAAGGGACCCACTGCTCAGTTCCTACCATGAAGCTTAGCAGCTCTGACCATTTGTTTCCCTTGAAACCATAGAAATTTCCTTTTCCTTTTTTAATATATAGTGATATTTTTTAAAATGCATGCCTCATTCTTCACCCTTAATCCACCAGCTCTCTGCCAACAGGTCAAAAATGGACCTGTAATGGTCTTCCAGATCCCTGGTCACTTGCACTAGAGTACTTGTGCAGGTCCATTACAAGTTCACTTGCTCCAGAGTCCTAAAACAAGGGGGCAGCTAGGTGGTGCAATGAATAGAGCACTGGCCCTGGAGTCAGGAGGACCTGAGTTCAAATCCAGCCTCAGACACATAATACTTCCTAGCTGTGTGACTTTGGGCAAGTCACTTAACCCCAGTTGCCTCACTAAAAAAGAAAGAAAGAAAGAAAAGGATAGGATGTTAAATTCATCTTCCAAAGGCTCACTGGAAGTGTCTTACTAACTAGAGTAGCAGACAGGATGATGAGGACAATATGTACCTCATCCTATTCTCATATGAGCTTGGTTTGAGGACAGCTAGGTGGTGCAGTGGATAGAGCACTGACCCTGGATTTAGGAGGACCTGAGTTCAAATCTGGCCTCAGACACCTAACACTTACTAGCTGTGTGACCCTGAGCAAGTCACTTAATCCCATTGCCTCGCCCCCAAAAAAACCAAAACCAAAACCCTCCTGCAGAGTCCTAAAAGAAGGTCCAGTTTCCAGTTGAGGAAACCGATTAAAACAGAAGATAAGTGACTTGCTCAAGGTTACGTAGCTATTAAATGTCTGGAGCTGCATTTGAACTCAGGTCTTCTTGACTCCAGAGTACTGGGCTAAATAGAAGAGTGACATTGAGCTGGTGCTTTCTGAGTGATAAAAGGAAGCACCTAAAGAGAGGAAAGAAAGATCTAGCTGTTGTCCACAAAGGAAAAGTTGTCACACATAGCTTCTAAATCCATGTAATTTTATGCCAAAACCCATCTTTATAACTGAGGTTATGTTAACAAGAGCTGTGTTCTGCAGCTATTAATCTGTCTTTCTCCAATCCTTCTGAAGGTTGGAGTGAGGGTTGGGACTGGGGTGGGATTGGAAGATGTAGAAAATATTTCATAAAATCACAGACCATAAGATCTGGGAGATCATCTGGGTCATTCTCTTCCCCCTATCTTATTCTCTCACTCTTCCCTCCCCCCTTGTTTTAAAGATGAAGAAAGTGAGGCCCAGAGAACTTAGGAACACAAAGTCACCAGCCTCATTGTTTATGGAACCAGGACCAGACCTGGGTTGCCTGAGCCCCACTGGCTGTTTCACCCCCTGCAGTACATTGCCTCTTTCCCTTTACCTGCCTGTCTTGGGAGTCTTTCTTTAACTTCTAATCTCTTTTATCTGTGATGGGCTCTAGAGGGTCTGGATCACTTTACCACCCTTGAGGTACAGCAGATTCTTGGGGCTTGTTGGCCAATCATTGATCCATAGAAAAGCATCTAGTGGTTGCTACAGGTCCTCTTTCAACAGAAATAATTCAATCAGATTATCAGTCAGTCAACAAGCATTTATCAAATGCCTTCTTTGTGCCAAGAATTGTGGAAATGAAAAATGTCTCTGCCATCAAGGAGCTAGACAATATGTACATATATGAGGTATATACAACACAAATACAAAATAGGTACAAGGTGATTCTGGGTAATGAGGGGAGGCATTGGTAGATTGAGGCAGCCAGGTGGCACAGTGGATAAAGTGCTGGGCCTGGAGTCAGAAGGACCTGAGTTCAAATCCAGCCTCAGACACTTACTAACTGTGTGCCCCTGGACAAGTCACTTAACCTTGTTTGCCTCAGTTTCCTCATCTGTAAAATGAGTGGAGAAGGAAATGGCCAACTACTTCAGTATCTTTGCCAAGAAAACTTCAAATGGGGTCATGAAGAGTCGGACACAACTGAAATGAACTAGCAGTTAGGGAGAATCAGAAAGGGCTCCGTGTTGAAAGTGACTTTTCAGCAGAGCTTTGAAGGAAACCAAGGATTTGGAAACAAAATTTTGGAAGGAAAGGAGACCAGACATTTATTAAGCACCAGCTGTGTGCAGAGCACTGTGCTTGGTGCCAGGTGAGATAAAAGGTTTAAATAAGACGTAGTCCTTGCCTTCATAAGATCATAAAGTTTAGATCTCATCTAGGTCGGTCTGCTCATTTTATAGACGAGTACATGGAGTTTATAACCTAGTAGGAAGATGTAGCACATAGGCCAATAGCTATAGTATAAAAGGATATAGGGACGATACATTAGAAAGGAACAAAAATTAGTACTATCTATGAGCTTCCTGAAAGTGATGGTATTTGAGTTGGACTTCAGGGTCAAAGGAGATGTTCAGTAAAGAAGATGGTATGCAAGGACAGCATTATTCTCAGCACAAGAATTGATATTAGCCACAGGGAGAAGGTAGGGAAGTGTGAATTGTATATAGGGGATGATGCAATAAATAAATGTTGATGGACCAACTTCCCTGATATTCTTGATGATCTCAGATGAAAAGACATCAGCGAGGGAGACAAATCCTGGATGCGGTATCAGCATAGAAGTCATGATAGTTAAACTGAAATGAATAGTTAGCCCCAGATACATACAAGCACACATTAATACATAATTCAATAATGAAGAACCCAGTGATGACCTCATTTGTCAGATCAAGGTTTGGGGTAGATTGGTACAGGCACTCTGCCTGCTCCTGCTTCTTACAATTTTACTTTGAAGGCGGTACCAGTAACTCCACCCATTCTCTGAAGGTATTACTATGTGAGGACACGTGAGAATTCTGTCTGTAACCTAGGATTTTTTTGCTCTTACTCTCTCACCAGCATAAAAAATCTTCATGCCAAAATCATAGAGAAAGATGCCATGATTAAGGTCCTTCAGCAGCGATCTAGAAAAGACGCAGGAAAGACAGATGCCTCCAGCTTACGTCCTGCCCGCTCTGTCCCGTCTATTGCTGCAGCCACTGGCACACACTCACGCCAAACATCTCTTACCAGCAACCAGTTAGCTGAGGAGAAGAAGGAGGAGAGGACCTGGAAAGGGAGCATCGGTAAGTTCCATACCTCTTAATGTTCTCTCTACTGAACAACAGATCGTAGTGAAATATCAGTCAGTCCATCAGTAAGCGTTTTAATAAATGCCACTTACTGTGTATCTAATAATTGTATCAACTATGTGCCAGGCACTGTGCTAAGTAAGCACTGAAGATATAAAAAATGGCAATATGTGCCTACTAAATGCACCTACTATGTGCCAGACACCGTGCTAAGCACTGCAGATACAGAGTTTGGCAACATGTGCCTACTACTATGTGCCAGGCACTGTGGATACAATGAATAGCAAAAACAATCCTTGCTCTCTAGGTGCTCCTCATGTAATGGGAGAAGAAACATGTTAACTGTGTGCAAACAGGAAAATTAGAGGAAGGGCATTAGCATTAAGGGAGGCTGGAGAGGCTTCTTAGAAGAAGTGGGACTTCAACTGAGACTTGAAGGAAGCCAGGGAAGCCAGGAGGCTAGAGGTGAGGAGGGAGAGCATTTCAGGCATAGGGGATAGCCTGTGAAAATGCATGGTGTCAGGAGATGGAGTGTCTTGTTGTATGAGAACTTGTGAGAGGCAGGACAATTCAATGGAAAGAGATCGAAGGATGGAGACCAGCATTTAGGCCTACATTGGTCATTTATTGGATGAAACTTTGGGCGAATCACTTAACTTTGCTTCCTGTGTAATGGGGACTAATAACTGCCCAATGTATCTCACAGGAGAAGAGCAAAGGAAATAATAGCTTTCAAAGGCTTTTGAAAAGGGAAATATGCTATAGAAATATGTGATACTTCATCCTTTCCTGATGCATTGCAGCCCTTTTGACCTTTAGCAGTCAGTTTCACGAGTTGTACTGGCCCGATGCATTTCTCCACTCATAGCCAAGCTTCTGGTTGATGATTCCCTCCATCCTTTGCTAGGCCGGTTTTCAGCAGGCAGACACACAAGTCCATAGCCAGGTCCAAACTCAAACATCTTCCAGCTTTGTGGGACCCGCCAGAGCTTACACAGCCTTTGAGGTCAGGGGGTCACCTCCATACCACATTGAGGCAGGAGAGGAGGACTTTAGCGGATGATGTAGTATTTGTCATTCCTCTTATGTAGGATGGGACTTCAGGGAGGCTTTGTGAGGGAAGTAGGCACTAATAGGCTTATAGGTCTAGAGCCAAAAGGTATGTTAGATGTCATCTGATCCAGCTTCCTAATTTACAGATCAGGAAATGAGGTTCAGACAAGTTAGGTCCAATCCACTCCAATCCAAAAAACATTTCTTAAGCACTTACTATGTACCAGACATTGTGCTAAGCACTGGGGATACAATTAATAAAAAGAAAGAGAGTCTCTGTCCTCGACGAGCTCAAAATCCCAAAGGGGAGACAACGCACACATGGAGGCAGGAAAGCAGGGATGGGGGATGGGGGATGGGATACTAGAGGGTACCCAGTGCAGAACATCTTGTTCCATGGAGTTCCATGAAACCAAGCAGCAGTTGCAAAATGGAGTGATCTGAGAGTCTATTTGGGTGACTTTTTCCAAGGTCACACAGGCTGTAAATAGCAGACTCAAGATTCAAACTCATGTCCCATGACTCCCAAGTTCAGTGCTCTCCTCACTGGAGTTCCTGGCAGAAATGCCTAGAGTTGGGTTAAAAATTAGGGGTCAAGGGGGCCTAGAAATAAGAGTTTTGCCATAGAAAAATCCTAGACATCTTTTCCTTAGAGAATCTCTCCACTCTCCCATGCTGAATTTCCAAAGCAGCTGGGGTGGTGGGATAAGATAAGGAGTGCCGTTCTCTGACAAATTAGGCTCCTTTGAAGATTCTCCTTAGGAGCAGAATTTGTGCCCTGTGTGATATTTTCCCTTGGTACTGCAGACAGAGGTGGGGGGAACGACTGGGGATAGGGGTTCCAAACCCAGGAATACTAGAGAATTTTGACTGCTTAGTGCCAGGGGGGTTAAGAACATAAGGGAATATAAAGAATAAGAAGTCTGATGATCAAAGCTACCCAGCCAGGATCTCTGTTTGAAGTCCCTCCACAGTCTTGTCTCAGCAGCTCCCCCCCCAAAGGAAATTGACTTCAAAGAGGGTGTGTGGACAGCAGCTGTGCTCATCAAAGACCCCCTTCCAGGGCAATTGTGCTCCGCCTCACAGATAGAGAGGCTTGCTGGAGACCCAAGGAAAGAGAGGCATGATCGACGACAGCTGGAAATGTGGCAAAAGGATGCCAGCCTGAAGTCAGTTTATGACATCTACCCATCTAGGCATTTATCCTCCTCCTGCCTACCCTCTCCCCTTCCAGCCTTCCAAGCATAGAATAGGGCTGCCACCAAAACAGATTCACCCAGAATCTCAGAGCTGGAAAGGATCTCAAAAGTCTTCTAGTCTAACCTTTACCTGAACAAAATTCCCCTTTGCACCATCCCTGGACATGTGATCTCTATGCAAAAACCTTCAGGAAAAGGCAGACTCTGGCAGCCATTCCTATTTTGGACAATTCTGGTCATTAGCAAGTTTTTCCTTGCAACAGAAATGTTTCTGTGGCTCCCATTCCTTGTCCTTCCTTCCCATTTCTGCCTTCAGTAATGACTAGACACATAGAGCCCAATATTTATTGCTGAATTAGGGCTCTGAGACACAAATCTCTATTGGCTTTAAAAGGAGGTAGATAGAAACCCCACAACACCCAATTCTGATTTGGGGAAGGGGCTTAGGCAAGTTTCCTAATTGATCTGGCAAAACTGAGATACCCTGGTTTGTGAGCACAAAATCTCGAGTAGGCTTCTCTTCAGGCCAAGGGATACCTGTGTGTAGTTATGGGAAATCTATAAATCACTCTTTAGGCTGCTCTGGGAAAGAGGATATGCAAACCTAGCTGATGTGGGTGATTTATGAATTACCCAAACTAAGACAAACTGGCTTGGGAAGCATCATGGTACAGGGGGAAGCACATTGCCTCTGGATTCCAAGGAGTTAGGTTCAGATACCTTTCCCAGGCCTTCTTAATGCTTGCTAGTGCCTTCTCTCTGTGATTAGGGTCATGTTGTTTCTGTAGGTATCTTGTTTTTCCATCTGTATATATCTTGTTCCATATTATTTCCACCATTTGTCTGTGAACTCCTTGAGGACCTCAGGAACTGTTTTTGCCTTTCTGCCCCAGCACTTGGCATTTAATAAATGCTTGTTGACTTGTCTTTATTTGATCTGTTATACTTACTGCCTGTGTGACCTTGGACTTTACCCCTGGGCCTCAGTTTCTTCATCTGTAAAATGAAGGGGTCGGACTAGTTTGCCGCTGAGTCCCCTTCAGACTCTAAATCTATGCTCCTATGATGAATAGCACTTAATAGTCTACATATAAGCCCCATCACTTTTTGGAGACAGCTTTTCCCAAAAGACATGTCTCCGACACTAAAAACTTTCACAGCTGACTCGGGTTTCTCCTTTGAAAAATTAGCCCTTCTTTGAATATTCTTCTCAGAAGCCACACATGTGTCCTGTGTCTTGTTCCTTGGTGCCCTGGCCTCCGGACAAGATCACCAGCCCAACTTTTCTTGGAAACATCTGAAGACCTTCATGTCTAGGGTGACCCATTTCCCTCCTCCAATAGCTATAGCCTTAGGCATCATCTGGGGGATATAGTCAAGGAAGGGAGGCTAGCTCTTCATGAGCACTGAGCAGTTTGGCCGATCTTAGATGCTCAGGGTGTCCTCATCCCATTTGAGTTGCTCTGTTGTGGCCCAGTTCTCTTAACCTTGCTTCTCATCCCAAGGTAAATAAAAATGTATTTCTTCTTCCTTTACCTCCTAACTAATCTGGCAAACCAATCATGGACTGGAGAATGGTGCAAAGCAGTTTGCTTTTCAGCAAGGGTCTACATGAGACCACAAAGTCACAGCCAAGGAATTGGCTATAATAGGGAGAATTTCAGAAACAGCAGGAGGCCAGTGGAGAAAATGTTTTTAGGCCACTGAACACATCACCTATGAGGGAGGCCAACTTTCTTAAGATAACACCAGAGAGCAAACCCATTGTCTGTGTCCTTTAGCTAAGAAGAAATATCTTACCCAAGATTAATAAAGAGACTCATGAAGCTGAAAGATGTTTCTTTTCTCACTCTCAGGATTGCTATTAGGGAAAGAGCACCATGACCACGCTTCTACTCCCTTGCTGCCAACACCTCCTCCCCTGCCACCGCCAGCGGCTTCATCTCTGTCTCCAGCAGCTTCCATGGTTCTGGTAGGCAGCTCCCATGCCAAAACGGGCAGCAAAGACAGCAGCACTCAGACTGACAAGAGCTCTGAACTCTTCTGGTCCAGCATGGCTACTTTTCCTAGCCGTGGCAAGCTGAGCACTACCCCTTCAAACAGCCCCATCTTGAAACACACTGGGGCCAAGGGAACTGGAGAAAAGTTGGGTGAGTATTTCCGCACTTGTAGGATCTGGACTTTTCTATCCAGTTAGGGGAGGAGAAGGGCAGAGAGTGAAACTTGAATCAAGAAAGATCATAAGTAGGGAAGTCATCCTGGCTTGGAGACTTCTGATACACAGTTTCTATTTAATTATTATTAAGCTTAACTCCCTCCCTGAAGTATGGAAAGCAAAATTTCTTTAAGCATGAGGGTAGATAAAGTACTAGACTCAGAACCAGGAAGACCTAGATTCAGATCCTGCTTCTGGCTCTGATACACACTAGCTTTGTGAACCTGAGCAAAGGGCTTAAGCTCTGGCGGCTGTAGGTGTGAGGTGGCAAACACAGGGTGGATGTAGCCCACAGCACTCCCAAGCACAATCGTAACCCAAATTAAAAAGTAGTTCCAATCTGATTTTAATGTGTTAATATAATAATAAAAAAAGAAGTACAGTATATGAATATGTGTGGTTTTCTAAGTCCAAATATGGTCTGTAGGAATCCTTATGGATATATAGTGACTCCAGTTTCTATTAGAATTTGTCACCATTGCTCTAAGAAACTCTCTAAGACTATAGCTTGCAGAGAATGTACTGATCTGCCTTGTTAGTGGGAATTTCTTCACCTGAGAGTTCCCCTATACCAGAGGTATCAAACTTGTAGCTCCATTAAGAACAGAGGAAATGTTTAACAAAATGGATACAAATACAATACAACGGAGATAATGTTAACTTATGGTTTTCTACATCAATATGCTGCAGGCAGGAATCAGTTTCTATTTGAATTTGACATCATTGTTCTATACCAGAGAAATCACAGATCCTGTCCCTATCCCAATGAGGGCTTTAACATGTCTCCCTATAATGCATGGAGAGCAGTAGATGACACGACTGTGAAGTTTGGAAAAAGGCTTTTCAGGGTGTGTGAGCTTTTGTCATCAACATTTCCTGAACACTCAATGGTTACAGAAGTATTCTATTCATTGCCAAAGCAAGAGAAGTCTGCTTTTTTTGTATGTAAAGGGTGATTTCAATTTAAACTTCCTGGGAGGAGGTGGGGGGAGGGCAATTTTTCACAGCTCTTATTGAGAAAAAAATGAACTCTATGTTCATTGAAAATATACCAATGGTGCCTTATTCTTGTTCTAAACAATAGAATCCCTTAGCTTTGAGGGAGTTACTTGAACGTAAGAGACATTTTTGCCAAAATCTGGCTCAAGAGTATGTGCAGTGATGGGGAGAGGAGCGAGGTAATTTAAGGAGAAAAATGAAGAGGCACAAGAGTCATGGTTGGATCCCACTTGTCAACTTGAGGGCACATTTAGAAAGGTGTTTACAATACTAGGTTTCCTCCTTCTTTCCGCTCTCCCCTCAATATTCTTGATGAGATTGAAAGGGTTTGGTTTTGAAGAAGGGTTTCTAAAACTGGCTTTTCCTTTGATGAACGGGCTATTATCATATACATACATATATGTGGGTGCATATATATGTATATGTGTGTGTATACCTATATGTGTGTGTATATGTATAACATACATATATACATATACATGTATGACATATATATGTATGTCTGTCTTTCTCTTTCTTTTGGCAGAGACCTCGCCCAGCCAGGGGAAGCCAGGTCCTGAGAACAAAGGCCGAGTCAGCAGTTTGCTTCATAAACCGGAGTTTCCAGATGGAGAGATGATGGAAGTTCTCATCTAGGAGCTGCCCTCTCCCCCAGGGAACTTCCCATGGAATGATGCCCAAGAAAAGTGTTTTAGGGCAGAGAAAGAGGGATGGGAAAGAGAGGGAGGGAAGGAGGGAGGGAGACTGAGAAGGTTGGTGGGTGGGATTTCAAGAACAATTCAAAAGGATAGGGATTTCAGACTCTCAAAACACATTTATTTTTAAAGGTAGATGGAAACAGGAGACCTGCATGACTGAAGATGAATGAAAGTACTCTGGATTATTGCAAAGAGAGGGAAAGGCAAAGATAAGTGTGGATTTGGAAAGAAATTTAACAGAAAAGAGAAAGTAGCCATTTTTATTGTATGGAAAAGATATCTCTTGGCGAGGATCTGTTCAGAACCATTCTCTGATTAAGATTGGCTAAGCTCCCAAATTGCTTTTCCTTTGAAAGTCCAATGTTCCTTTTTGCATGTCTTTTACAAGCGAAAAAAATGTTTATCCATCACTAGAACCCATTCTGATTATATGTAACATCCCTGAACCATCATCAGGGCTTCCCGTGAAGGGTTATGAGCATGTCGGTGTGGGTATGAGTAAGTACAATTCGATGTCCACGGGGAGGTGGGGTAATTAGACAGGGATGGCAGCCCCTAAATAATCCCTGGCCTGATCCAGACTTCCAGGAGATTTAGACAAGCTCTTCTTTCCCTCCCATCTTATATTCAGCAGTGTCTTCCAAGAAGGTCACCCTCCTTGGGTTTCTGGTGCTGTCTCTACCTTAAGTTCATCCTTGCTTCTTCTTAGAACTAGGATTTCAAAGAGCATCATGTTAAGTGTTCTCATTATTCCTTCAGTGCTTAGTAATGAACTAGTAGCTTTCTGGAGCCATATTCTAGTTGTCTTGCTTCTCTCTCCACCCCATCTCCTGACCCCTAGCTCATGTACATGATAACTCATTCTGATTGTGAAACTCTTGTTAAATTTTGATGAAGTAGGGTATACTATTGATGATATGACTTTTTTCATTAAGAGAATGGCACTGCCTCTCTTCTGGCTCACATGACCTCTTCCAGAAAGAATTTAAATGTTCTTACCCAACCCATTATTTAAATTTCTCTAGTTAAGAGGATAAGAAAAGGGGGTTTTTCACAACAGGGCTTTAATTGCACATAGTTGGCCCAGCTCCTTCTATACCTCAGCAGTCACCTTGTTCAAGATTTCTTGTACTTGTGGGCCCAGGAGCATCTTCTCATACATATACACTGCTTCCTCACCCTCATGATTATTAATGAGCAGCAAATTATTTGGTAGAATATAGCCTTTAGCTTCCCTCTGCCAAGAATGTGTTTAGTAACACACCAGCACATATAGTAGGGACATTTTAATATTTATTCTTCTGATCAGCTTTTCCTAGACAAGGCAGGGAGAACATTGAATGTAAAAATAGATGATGTATTAGGTAGCTATTATTCCTCTTGCACTCTGGAGTGGAAAGGGTCAAAGTGACGTTGCATGTTTCTTCACTTTCAATTTGGTTTCCTTTGAAAAGGTTAGAAAGTTCCATGTCATGAGGGGGTGAACCTTGATTTTAGAGCTACCTCTCCAAAATGGCTCCAAATCAGTCAATGAACAAGTTATTTATTAAGCATCAAGGAAGCATTTATTTACATTCTAATCATCCATGACCACTCACTTGACCATGAAAAAGTCAATTTGCCTTCTTGGGCCTCAGTTTCCTTTTCTATAAAATGATTGGGTTGAACTAAGGTTCTTCTCTGCTCTCAAATTTTATTATTCTGTCTCATTCATTCTACTTTTTTTCTCCTTTGGTCACCTAGAAAAAAAATGTGAAATCTTGTGTGTGGTCTCACCTAATTGACTGCTGGAGATAAAATACGTTTGGAATTCCTCCCACTTGTCTGGTCAGTTCTTTTGAGGCAAGTCTTCGGAATTTAGCTGATGTATGGATCTTGTTTTCCCCAGAACATGAGCTCACAACCTGACCAGATGAAAGTAATGAAGTTTTCATCTGAGCAGGAAGGGGAAAACCACTAGCTTTTGACTCAGAATAGACTTTTTGTTCATATTTATTTGTTGAAACCTGCTCTCTGTTCATGTGACAAAGACCATAGAAAGCAGGCTGAAGATTAAGAGATACCAGTTTCCATTAGTGGGCTGTCCTCATCTCTTTCATTGTGAAATACCACAGCTTTAGGAACCACAGCTTTAGGATGGGGTGGAGTATAGGTCAGAGGTAAGTTAGGTGCAAAGTGAATTGAATGTCCCCATCCTCATCTCTGCTCCATTTTACTAGCACCGGTGACAGGGTTAAGCTGATGATACCTACCTCTGAAGGTATTGCTCTCTAGCACTAATCAGTATTAAATGGGCACATCCTCCCCCCAGAGGCAAGGGATTAATCCATATGTTATCACACATGGATACAGAAAATTGGGGTGAAAGTCCAGAACTGAGGCCCTTGAATTCTATCACTAGCTGCCATAGGTGAGAAATTTCCATTGATATCAGTAATAAAGAGGGTGTATTAGCACTCCCTAACAAACAGTGTTAACAAAAGAAAGTGCTCTCTGAAATTTCTCCTGTGTTGACTAGGACAGCGGATTTTCTATCAACATGTTCAGCAGATTTAGGCCTTTATTGTAGAACACCACTGGGAATGATATTGGGGTGGAGAATCAATGACATGCCAAGAGATCAATGAATTCTTTATATACATGCTGAAATAGTGCTATTAAAATTATTTCATTGACAACATTGAATGAATTAACCATGATGAAATCATGGCAAATTAGTTTGCATCTCTGAGCCTCAGTTACTTCATCTGTAAAATTAGGAGATTCGACTAGATGATACCTTCCAACTCATCAAAAAAAACTATCGTGTAGTCAGTATGTGCAAAGGGCATTCTCAGGGGCTATACCAAATATTGTACATTGGTAGAAAGTCCTCTGACACTAGATTTTTTTAGCTGTGTCTAAAAGCAGAAGAGGTCCCTGCCCAACACCCCCATCCCCACAAATGGAGAAGAGGCCATCATTCTTAACTTGTCAAGAATCTCTTCTTTTCATTTCCCCTTAATTCTTGCCCTCTTAAACTTCCCAGGTGTCACTTAATCCAGACAGTGGAAAGTGCCAAGATTAGCCTGTCCTGAATGTGCTTCCAGGGTAGGACATCTTTCCCTTCCTTTGTTTGAGGAGCATTGACTTCTCTGCAGTGAAATGAAAGCCAATGAGCCTTTTTCCCCTTAAAAATAAATCTGTGAGGGTCAGAAGTAAGCAATTGCCCTTTGGAGTCTATCAGTGTCCTTGAACTCCATCAGGAAAGTTTGGTTTGAACCAGGAGACTGGTTGCTCAGAGTGAATTCTGGTCTTAACACAAAGAAGGTCTTGTGGACAGTCATGAAGGAGAGCCTCCCTCCTGAATCACAGGTGCTAGGGAATAAAACCACCCTTGAGTGGTTCCCAGGTAAGCTGCAGTGCCTCCATGCATTCCTTGTTTCCAATCTCACCCCCGTTTATCATGAAGATTATGAGTACATATACCTATGGTGGCCAAAACACAAACCCTTATGCTGAATTCTAATTGGATTCTGGTTGCCATGGAGATAACAGAGGGAGATGAGTGAGACAGGCTGATTGTCTTTTGGGTCCCCAATGTAATCGCCCACCAGGAACCCAAAGATCCCTATTATAGCCCAGTGATGTGTGTAAGGAGAGAAAGATGAAGGGGCAGCTAATGGAACCATGACTCAGAAGATCAGAGATGCCAGCTTTACATGGCAGAGAACTGTGCCAAGCCAAGAGATATGTTTTCTAGTGCCACCGTTTTGTTAATTCTATGCATTTATTTTTTGTCTGTACCTGAAAAACAATTTTTGCATCACTCTTCTCTTTATGGTTTTGAACTTCTTATCAAAGGAGTGGTGTGTCTGTAGCGAGAGAAATGCCATGGACGTTCTTTCATGTTTCCAGGTAGACAGTGTGATATACATCTTCCTTCTTGTCAGTCCACCTCCTGTCTCCAAACCTGAGGTGACTCAGTATGTGTTTTGTAAACTTTTGTGTTTTTTTTTCTTCAAGAAGAAATCTAAATGTTTCTAAGTGTGTGTGCTCAGTAAGTGGACTGTTTAAAATATTTGTATCTGCAAAAGCGTGGACTTCTTGGGAAATGGATTATTTAGTAAGTTACCAAGAAATGGTCAGCAGGGAGATGACAATGGTGAGCATTTTAGTAAGTGACTTTCTTCAAAGAAGTGGCAAAAATGCTCCTTTTAAAAGCTTCTTTCTTTTTATAATAGTTGTACCCTTCTCTCTTCTAAATATTTAATGGTGTACATATACATGTATATATGTAAGTGCATATATACAAGGGGTGACTATCAAGTGATGTGACTAAAAAAGTTTTATTTTTAGCAAATACACCAGACCTTATACATCCAAATGAGTGATGTACATTTAAAGTTTTCTGCTTGGGGCACCATACATTTATTCTACAATGATGCCGTTGCTCAAAGCATGTATGAGTCACACCTTGCCCGGGATGTGCTTTTGAATATCCTCAGTCAGTGCAGGCAAAATCTTCCCCTTCAAAAGAGAAATTCATTTGATTTTGGGTGCCAAATCTCTTGGGAAAAATGGGTCATCAAATTGGGTAAAACCAATTTTTTGGTGAAAATCAAAGTTATAACTCTCAAAGCTGATTTCCTTTTCCCAGAATCACAGAATCCCTGAGTTGGAAGATCTCAGAGGTCACCCAGTCCTACCTTTACTTAAACAGAAATACTCTCTGTAACAACCCAGTGAAGGTCAAGCCAACTCCCACATAAACGCCTCCAACGATGGTGGCCTTTGTCACTGCCCAGGGCAGCCACTCTCATTTTTGGATAGTTCTATGTGCCTCGGGTAGCTCCTAGGATAAATTATTATCTGGTTCAGTGTGGTGAATCCCCACGCCAGGAGTTGTACATGATGATGAAATCCTTTTCATATTTATATAACTACTAAAAAAATTTTTTTCTTACCTCTCCCTTGGGTAACTCTTACCCATTGTTCCAAGAGAGCCAAGTAAATTGTGGCCTGGAACTTAGTTCTGACAGCAGTGCCCAAAGAGGAGTTCCAAAAAATGTTTTAATTAATAGTACCAAGCAATACAGAAGGACAACACTCATTTGGATGTATATGTTCCAGTGTATTTGTTTGTTTGCTTTTTAATAAAAGGTTCCATCACTCTCATGATGTCATGCACGTGTTTATATGTATATGCACACTCTGCGAGTATATGTGTATATTCATTAGTACATACATTCAGTAGTTATTGAGCAAAACTGTGTTCTACGAAATGCATGTTGTTTTATAATACCATTGCAGTATGCTTTTGCTGTGGGATTTTGCTACTTCGTAGAATTAAAAATACAGTTACATATAAATAAATATATTTGCAGCATTTTCTTCTAGTATCAGTGCAGAAAGTTTTGCTCTCCAGCAGTGTTTACAAACGATTTTGTCCCAAAATTTGTCCGTCTTGTAAACAACTATTTATTACAGAATGGAATGTAGGCAAATGTAAACCCCATTTACTATTTGCGGATTTGGAGAAATACTCTTGGAGGTTCTCAGCATTTTCAATTGAATTGAGGTATTTTTCCCTTTTGGAAAGAGCAGTGGTTCATTCCCCATAGTTGGATGAGAGGGCAGAGTCTAGAGAAAGTGTCATGGGTTGGATGCTTCTCCCCAGCTCCAGCGATGGTTACGCACAGCACCTGCTATTGTTATTCCTGCCTGCTCCATGTGTATGTGTCTTGGTGCTTTGTGAACTTGTGCTGTATTCATTCCAGGTGACATCGGTAACTGGTTGTAAAATTTTGGCATGTGATTATTGCTGGTCTGTATAGAATGGGGTGTATAGCACTGTACAGCCAGATGGGGATGTGTACATAGGGGGAAGTCCAAGCATGTGATGTGTCCCCTGCAGCAAATATTGATATTGTTGGTCAGCCAAAGATTTTCCTATTCTTTGCTGCTTAAACTTGTGCCTTAATATTGTATATAATAAATGGATTAAATGGTCTTTTTTTCCCCATTGTTTTTTTTATCTTCCCCAAAGGTGGTAGATAATCAGTATTTACTGACTCAGGTTGCATTTCTCTTTTGGGGGACTGCTACCTCTTAACTTTTGCTGGAGCTGGCGAAAATATTGGACATGTATTGTCAGCCTCATTGTTATCCAGAATACCCAATGAAGAAATTCCTTCTGCCAAAGTAGGTTACTTCCTGCTCTGGAGCTTAGAATCTAAGAGACCTGCTAGGGCACTGCAAGGTTAAGTTTCTTGCCCAAAGTCAAGCAGCCAGTGTATATACGTCAGAATTAGGACTCAGGTTTGAGTCTTCCTGACTTCAAGATTGGGTCTCTACTATACCATCCTGCCTCTCACCTTAAACTTCTATGTTCAGAAATGTTTAATTCTTTCTTCTGCACATCTCCCCAGCTTATAACACTTGGGCAACTGCTGCCACAGGATGTCAAGTCCCCAAAAGGAAGTGAGTCACCCAGGGGACAGGGGTTTTCAGGTCTTAGGTCTCTTTTCAGACACTTAGGACAAAGGGAATGCTCTGAGACTGTTGTTGCAGGGAGCGTGACTTCCTTTTGCATCCCACACGGGGAAGTCTTTCAACGGCTCCTGTATGCAAAGCCTGGTTAGTGTGATTTGTTAATCGGACACTGTCCCTGATAATTAACAACAGACCAAGTCCTGGAAAATGTAGTGAGTGAAATGCTTCCCTGGTTTCTTGGGGCAGACCATGTCAGCAGACAGTTCTTTCTCTTTCATTTACTATTGGCCCAGGATCAGAGAAATGAGCCCAGAATTACAGACTATCAGAGCTGGAAGGGGCTTTCACGATCACCTAGTCCAGTCTCCTCAGTTTTTCAGATAAGGAAACTGAAGCTGACAGAGGAGAAGGGACTAATTCAAGGTCACAATAACTGATGAAACCAGTGACTTTATGGCAGCTAGGTGACTCAGTAGACTCTGACTCAGGTCTTTTACCATATGCCGCGCTGCCTCTTTGGTGAGGCTTCTTCCAACTCTAGGGATCTGTGATTCTAATTCAGCCCAGAAGTTCTCCTGCTGCCTCTTTGTGTTGCTGAAGCGATCAGCAGAGCTAGCTCCCCAGGAGCTGAGAGCCCTTCAACCCCAGTGACTGTCAAGGTTGCCACTGACTTCCCAAGCCCTTTGATTGATGGTTTCAGAAGGTCTGCTCTAATTTGGAGCCTGAACAATTGTTAATTTTTATTAGGGCTATAACCAACTTCTAGTATTTCCTAGCCCCAGGCCTAATGACTGATGTTAGTGTAAAGTCCATGAATAAATTCCTCAGTTAGGGGCCCCATGTCACAACAAAGCTGAAAAGGTAGGTAATTGGGAAGGCTGATGGGTTGTTAATGAGGAGGGCTACTGTTATCTGGAACATCAGGTAAGAATGTCATTGAACTCTGTCATCTCTCTGTCTCTTTCTTTTTACCACCTTCCCTACCCCACACTCACCTCTCCCTAAGTAAAGAAACTCCAAATGTAGGAAATTTCATGTGGCTATTTCAAAGAATTATGGAGAAAAAATGAGAAGTTTCCTAAGTAAAGTGTTGTGTATATTGTGGTTAGCTGGTATATCCAAATTGCAAGATTTAGGTCATTGCCTACTTGCATTTCCTAGCATAGACCCTAGAATAAGAAAACAGAAGGGAAGGGATTCCTTCCCCCAAAACAAGGTTTTTTAGGGAGAGGGGAGTGAAGAATGGTTTTTGAATTGTTGAATTTAAAAAGCAACTTTAAGGCTGGTATAGAAAGTGGCAGGACATGTAGGCATCTGATTCCTAGTACCATAGGGCTGGTCTGTTTAGTCCCAATGGTAAAATGCCAATATATCTTGACTTTATTCCTGGAGCATCCTTGAAGACAGGTTAGAGAGAAAGAAGTCAAAGAGCAAGAAAGACATGGTAACTTTGCCCTTGTAGGGTTTACCATCTGCTAGGTACTGAATATTAAGAAAGGCAAAAACATAGTCTCTGACTTTGAGGAAATAATATTCTAATGTAGGCAACATATAAATAACTATGTAAATATATGACATACATGATCGATCTCTCTCTCTCTCTCTCTCTCTCTCTCTCTCTCTCTCTCTCTCTCTCCTAGAAGATAATCTTGTAGGAAAGGGGCTAGCAGCTAGGGAACCAAGAAAGGCTCCTGTAGAAAATGGAATTTGAGTTTTGGCTTGAAATCATGAAAACTAAGAGGCAGAGGTGAGGAGGCTGAGTATTCTAGGAATGGAGGAAAGCCAGTGCAAAGCCATGAAGATTAGAGATGGAGTGTCTTCCTCACGGAATAGAAAGTAGGCTTATATAGCTGGAGAAGGGTATAGTATAAGATGATTGGAATGGTAGAAAGGGGCCAGTTTATGAGGAGATTTAAATACCAAATAGAGAATATATAATGAATTCTGGAGGTAATAGGGAGAAGTTAAATAAAGGGACAGAGAAAGGAGAAGACATGGTGACTGTCACCTGTAGTGACTGCCCTGAGGAGGTGAGAAAGAGGGCAGAGAGAATATGGTTATATCACAGTTGTAATAAACTCCTTGAGGGTAATAACTCATATTTTTCCTTTTTTCTGTATCTCAAGTATTTAGCACAGTGCCTGGCACATAGTAAGTAAGTACTTAATGTTTGTTGACTTCATTTGATTATGCAGACAAGGAAAGAGAGCAGAAAGAAGAAAGGATGTGGTGACTTCACAACTCTTGTGACTGCAACAGACAGTTGAGGGAGAAATATCAGAGAGTAGGATGGGAATAGTTTGTAGATATAGAGGTAGAAGAGACTTCATCCAACCTCCTCTTTTTTACAGCTGAGGAAACTGAGATTTAGGGAAGTGAGCTGTCCTAGAGGTCACAGTGTCAGAAAAAGCAATGTGCTTTCCTGTCGGTGCAAGATGGCGGTGCAGAGCTCCAAGAAGAGGTAGTTTGTTGCTGATGGCATCTTCAAAGCCGAGCTGAATGAGTTTCTCACCAGGGAGCTGGCAGAGGATGGCTATTCTGGGGTGGAGGTTCGAGTTACCCCAACCAGGGCAGAAATCATCATCTTGGCTACCAGGACTCAGAATATCCTTGGGGAGAAGGGTCGCCAGATTCGTGAACTGACAGATGTAGTTCAGAAGAGGTTTGGCTTCTCTGAAGGCAGTATAGAGCTGTATGCTGAGAAGGTGGCCACCAAAGGTCTCTGTGCTATTGCCCAGGCCAAGTCCCCGCGTTACAAATTCCTGGGAGGTCTTGCTGCGCATAGGGCCTGCTGTGGTGTCCTCCACTTCATTATGGAGAGTGGAGCAAAGGGATAAGAGGCAGTGGTGTCTGGTAAGCTCAGAGGCCAGAAGGTTAAGTCCATGAAGTTTGTGGATGGCCTGATGATCCACAGTGGAGACCCCATCAACTACTGCGTCGACACAGCTGTGTTGCCACGTCCTCCTATATTGGGATTTAAAGTATTGGGTGTATTGGGAATTAAAGTCAAAATCACGTTGCCCTGGGACCCAAGTGGCAAGATTGGCCCTAAGAAGCCCCTGCCTGACCATGGGAGCATCGTAGAGCCCAAGGATGAGATTCTTCCTACCACGCCCATCTCAGAGCAGAAGAGTGGGAAGGCAGAGCAACCAGCTATGCCTCAGCAAGTGTCCACTGCATAAAAGGACTCTGTGACACCTGGAATGGTGTGCCCGAAGCTCTTTGGTAAAGATCTTTAATAAAATCTTTTTAAAAACAGAAACAAAAACAAAACAAAACAAAAAAAAACAAAGAAAAAGAAAAAGCAATGTAAAATTTTTACAGCAAGTTTCTCTCATGAAAGTCTCATTTCTCAAATATATAGGGAACTCAACCAAGTTTATATAAATAAGAGTCATTTCCCAGTTAATAAACCATCAAAGGATATGAATAGGCAGTTTTCAGAAGAAGAAATCAAAGCTACCAATAGTCTTATGAAAAAATGCTCCCAATCACAACTGGTTAGAGAAATGCAAATTAAATTAACCCTGAGATACCACCTCACACTTATTAGATAGGCCAACATTACAGAAAAGGAAAAATGACAAATGCTGGAGGGAATGAAGAAAAATTGGGCCACTAATGCACTGTTGGAGTTGTAAACTGGTCCAATTATTCTGGAGAACAATTTGGAACTATGCCCAAAAAGCTAAGCACAAAACTGTGCTTACCCTTTGACTCAGCAATACCAGGGGATGCCCGTCAATTGGGGAATGGCTGAACAAGTTGCGGAATATGATTGTGACAGAAACTGTTGTGCTATAAGAAATGATGAGCAGAATCGTTTCAGGGAAAACCTGGAAAGACTTATATGAACTGATGCAAAGTGAAGTGAGCAGAACCAGGAGAAAATTGTACACAGTAATAACAATATTGTAAGGATGATCAACTGTAGAAGATGTAGCTATTCTGGTCAAGACAATGATCCAAGACAATTCAAAAGCACCTACGATGAAAAATACTATCCATCTTCAGAGGGTATGGATGAATGCAGATCAGAATGCAGTTAGAAGCATACTTTTAAAAACTTCATTTTTCTTATTTTATTCTTTATCTGTGTTTCTTTTGCAACATGGCTAATACAGAAATACGTTTTGCATGACTTCACATGTATGATCAATATCAAATTGTTTGCCTTTTCCAGGAGTGGGAAGGGGTGGGAAGAAGGGAGAGAAGTTGGAACTCAAAATTTTTTTTTAATGCTGTTAAATTTTTTTTACATGTAATTGGGAAATATTTAACAAAATAAATAAAAAATACATTAAAAGAACAATCTAACCCAGAACTTCTGACTGCAAATCTAGTGGGTTCATCAAAGTGCCGTGTTTCACACACAGTATGAAGAAGTAACTGTAGAGTTGGGTGTGGAGAGAGCAGAGGAGACATAGTGAATTCACACCTGGAGTCATTTCATTACACAGACAACAGACTCAGAGAGTGAAGAGTACATTCAGGCTCCCTTCTGAGAAAGATATCAAA